GAAATTAAGGCCACGAAGGCAGAGAGTTCAGTATATAAATTGGAAATAACATAATGTGAAAAAGTAAAAATCTAATACAAATTTTCAAGTAACACAAAAGAATAAACTAAAAACAAAGTAACAATTTTTTTCAATTTACGATTATTATCGAAAAAGAAACCGAAGTTACACAGATAATCGTTAGTCACAATAATATAGAATTCTACTGATGGGACTATATAGAGAGCAAAGTGGGGTTACCTATACTGTTATAATAAGAGGTAATAATGATATACTGATTTCTACTAATACAATAATTATATTTTTGTTTTTACATTAATAGTTGCCATTGGTTACTCGGGCAGTATAAACCTATATCTAAAACCAAAGTAACATCTAGGGTTTACGCCCAGTTAGCCGACACCCTGTTTTTTGATCAAAAAACCAGCTTTCAATGGTTTTTAAAAAAAGCCCAATTCGCCGACATAATATGATATTGGCGACCTGCTACGTTGTATCGAAATCAAACTATAATAGGTACTCTGGTACTATCATAATCTGTAAATTCATTTTATCGCGAGTATATAAGAACAAGTCGCTATTGGCTATAATATATAATATATCGGCAACGTTATGATATCTGTAAACTTATTTAATGGTGAGTATAAGATAGTACTATAGGTACCTATCACATGATAATTGAAATCCATGATCAATATATTATAAATACATGTACACTGTGGTTTTCAAATAATAATTATGAGTTTGAAGTTATATTTCACTGCGTGAGGTACTGCAATAAAATGTATTTCTACATATTTAATTTTTTCCCCCATTATGGAATGTGAGGGGTATTTAAGTCGGAAAAAAATCAGGACTTAATTGTAGTGAACAAATATTTACACAGAATAGACCGGATACGTGGAGACAACGAATATTATAAATGTGTGGATAATTGCGGTGGCCATGCAATATTAAGACATTCAAACGTTGTAGTTATGTCTAAGACACATAATCACGGAACACATGGTCTTGAATTGGCAAAACGAGGTTTCCGAAATAAATTAAAGGTAAATAATTTTATTAGATATTATAATAAAAATCATATTCATATTTTTATAAGCAAAATGCAATAAATGGATTTTCATAGCTCATATACTTCAATAAATTATAATACAGATTTTTATTTTGCATATTTTTATAACTGAACTGTACTTCTTCAAATTAAGTGTTGTCAAATTGAGTGTCAGCGAACTGGGAATACACCACATCTAGCACTTCTGAGTTTAGTGGAATGTTATATGACAACATGGCAATTTGGTAAGGTTGCCTGAAACTGAGACCAAAGTCGAAGTACCCTAGGTTTTATCTCATGTTGCAGAATACAGGAGTCAATAAAATAATAATAATAACAACGCAGGTGGGATGATGGTTAAAATATATTCATATGATTTGATTGAAAAGCTACAGTAATTTGAAGAAAAGCCTCAAGGCATAAAAACTTCACCAACAAAGAAAAATAAACAATTCATACATTTTGTTAACGATATTATTAAGCCGTAACCACACAACATCGTTGATTAATAGAAATAATAACGTAAGGTATAACGGGCCATACCACGAGCGCCCGACCGAGGCCTAAGAACAATAATATTTAATAATATTATATACCTAATTTTAACGTTCTTATGACAATCTCTTGCGGCTGTGGCAAGGGTTGTAGTACAGTTTTCCCAATCAATTTTTTCCAATACATTTTTCCCAACTTAAACATTTCCAAATCTAATATTCCCAATCTAATTTCTCCAATTTCAATATTTACCAAAAATATATTATCCCAATATATATTTTTACAAATTTAATATTTCCCAAAAAAAAAACCGACACTGAGTGCATGTTACGACAACTAAATCTGCAGGGACAAAAAATAAGGAATGGTCGTAATATGGTACGACTAAAAGTAGAGGAACGAATACATATTATTGTTTCAAAGTATGACGAATTTGTTAATAACAATGATATTATTGCATATCTCACGGCCATTGGTCATAATTTAAAATTTTAATACAGTTTTATTTATTTATACTATTTTTTTACTATACTTGTACATTT